AAGTTTGTAGAGCACGTATGGAAGGGGATCGACATCGACGAAGATGAAACGCTGGAAACGGAGGGTCTACAGGAGTTCCAGGAGAAGATATCTGTTGCTTGTGCCGAGAGAGAAGAACAGAATCTAAGGAAAGAATCCAAGGATAAGGAGTGTCTAGAAGTGTACGGGATGTTGAAGGAAGGAATAGCGTCCAAGGACTACCTACAGGACCAATGGATGCAGGAACAAAGCTTAAGGTCAAATTCAGGACCGGGGACATAGGCCTTCGAGAGCGTCGACGAAGACATAGGATGGTAGACGAGGAAGACGACGAGTTCAAATGTGATTGCGGCTTCGAATGCGAAGACCGTGTTCATGTTGTCGCGGAATGTCTGTTGTACAAGAAGGAGAGGGAAGTGTACGTGACTGAGCTGGGAAAAATATATGCGACGTACAGGGGGATGTTTGAGGCATGGAATTGAGAGGAAAGGACGTTAGCTGTAGTGGGGCATAGGAGGTGGGGTTGAAAAGGCGGGAAGGGATACCGTTAGGATAGACAGACTAGGGAAGACATTTTTGAGCCACCTTTGGCAAAGTAGAAAGGAACGATTGGCNCCCCCCCCCCCCCCCCCCAAGTGCCCTCGAGGACGCGTGGTCAAAGGTCTTAACCGCTAAGGCAAATGAGAACATTAGTACAATCGCCTTCCTGACTCCTTTTGCATTCGACTACTTGTAGAGTCGCGCCCAGAAGTACCGCGTCACAGCAGCGTTCAGCGTTCGTTGTTGCTGTGGGCCCGCGGACACAAAACAAGCAGAAAACAAATCGGATTAGACTATCACGTTCTTTTTTTTGTTGTCGGGGTGGTTGTGTATGCGTTGTTTTCAATACTTTCGTTTCCCTCGTCTGGCCTGCGTCTGTTCTCGACCACTTGGGCGGATTGCTTCGTTGCCGCCGGCAGGAACAGCAGCGACAGCAACCCGGGTATCGCCGCGGTCCTCTAGTGCTGCGGCTGGGACAGCGGGGGCATACGCGGGCGGCGGCGCCGGAGGCGGGAGGGGAGCTGGGGCGGCAAGGATGCCGACGCGAGCGCTGGCGTTCGAGTCGATCCTGAAGGACCGCGCTCTCACTCTGGAGGACAGGACGGCGGTCGCCCTCATGTTCCTCCCTTCCCCGCAGCTTAAGGTGGATCGTTCGTTCTTGTTAGAAAGCTGGAGGAATTACTCTGGTGTGGGCTCACTAGTGCACAGCAGGGGTGTGATTTTTTTGCAAGATGAAAATATAGCAGGCAGGCAGGACCAAACCCACACAGCTAGCTGCCAGCTATTGGTGTGACGTTTTCTTAAGCTCAACAGCTCACAGCAGCTGCCGCGTTTTTGACTCGAACAGCAAAGCGAACCTGCACCAACCAATAATATCCGGTTTCAAAGCCGTGTTGTCGTGCAAAACGCAACCCAGAAAGACTTGCCGTTGAAGTCTTTGCAGTGAGTGGGCGAGAAACCGGCTGGAAAGTGAGCTTTTTTTCTTTGTCTGTTTATTAGCCTATGCACAGAGTTGTCATTGTTCTTGTTGGCGCCATGTTGATGCTGTCTTTTCGTATGATTGTCGTTCGGGGTTGTGGTTTTGGCAAGTCACACGAATCCTGTTTGTAGTCTTTCCCTGCCTCTCCGTCCCCTCTCTTCTTTTACCCCTCTCCTTCACGCCTGTTATGTCGAAACCCCTCACCCGCCTCTTAAGCGGTAAGCCGTGAGTCGTGCTCCTCGTTCTGCGGAGGACCGACATCGTCGGATTGTCGTCAGCATTAATATGGCGGCTGAGTGCATCAAATGTGATGACCTCGTCTCATTTGGTTGCCCCCGCCTGCTGTGTGTTGCGAATACAACGACCCGCCCTACCCCCCCGTTGAACACCCCCTCCTGCGGAGAAAACCGCCCTGGGCAATTGTGTGTTGTGAAGCTCCTTTCAGTCGCCCAAAGCAAGAGCATGTACGAGAACTACAGCTTTGATACTACACAACCCACCGCAGGCATCATCATCATTCAGACGCCCAAGATCTATCAGAAGTTTTTTTTAATGTGAGCTGCGGTGCCCCCCCTCCCCTCTACCTTCGCAGGCGTTCTTGACGTCGGAGGAGGAGTTGTATGCGGACAAGGGCGTGCTGGATGGCGTGCTGCTGACTGGCATGGCTCATCGCGGCCTGCACTTGATGCAGGTATCTCGTGCAATGGATGTTGTTTCCATTTCTCACATAACCTACATGTCGTTGTTGTTGTTGTTGTTGTTGTTGTTATTTCCAAATCACCTAACCTCATCATGCCAACATCCGGCCTGTCACCTAAGGTCGTGTCAGAGAAGTGGGAAAATGTAGTACGCGGCGCTGTCGGGCTTGTACGGCACGATTGTCTACCCGCTACTTGTGTTGAAACGGCGTTTCACTGCTGTTGGGTCTGCGGACCCGGACCGGGTCCAAGGAGACGCCCAACACTAGGGGGAAACCCTCTGCACGCGAATTGCGCCGCATCATCTGATCCCCTCATCTTTTGATCCTCCCTGGCATATCAAACCAACGAACCACCCGCGTCGACATCTAAAGATCGATTGATGGCCAGAATCACGCAAGGCGTCATCGTCCCACGTGCTGCTGTGCTTTGCCGCTATATATTACGCTGTTGCCTCCGCGTGTAGTAGTCGGCACTCCAATGCGGCGCTCTTGTGTGATGGAGAGCCCGCGAGAGCGAGCAGGACATCGAAAACGTCCCATCTGGTGTGCTGTGCTGCGTGTTGGGTAGCTGACTCTTTCTTCTCGGATGCAGTGTTGTACCTCTTGGCGTAGGCACCGAGAGCGGAAGTTGCAGTTCATTCGGCACGCGTGTCGTCTTTGTTGTTTGTGCACGAGACATGCCACCTATCTCCGGCAAGATGCAACTAGGCTTTTCCATCACGGTATGAACCACGCTTGCTAACACTCGTCGAGGTGGGACCTGGCCATTTTTGTTTCACAGCTCTCAACTCTCATCACGCCTCGGTGTACGTGCCCGCGCGCCCCCGTGATCTTGCCGCAGAGGTACCTCAACCGCACGATGGACATCCAGACGGCCGCTCTAGTGGCGACGCGCTCGGTGTCGTTCTTCCCTCCCACCTGGAGAAAGGAGAAGGAAACGGTGCACGTTTGGGCCACAGGGTATCGCCAGCGGCTAATGGAGTGGCAGTTTTGGTTCAACGCGTGAGTTTGTTGTTGTCTGCTGCTGCTGCTGCTGCTGCTGCTGCTATTGCTGCTGCTGGTGTTATTGTTGTAGATGATGCGGTTGCTGTATCTGGTGGTCTGCTGTTGCTGTTGCTGCCACCGTTGTTGTTGTCGTCGTCGTCGTCGTCGTCGTCGTGATTGCTGCGGCCGAAGCTTGACGTGCTCCGCGGTTGTTGGCGGTTGGCGACGATCAGCTGTCTCTGTTGTTTGTAGTTGCTGTTCTTTTTGCTGTCGTTGTTCTGATGATTCGGCAGGTGTTGACCCGCACCCCACCCCACCCTCATCCCAATCAGACCATCACCATCCCCTCCCACCTCCCCCCCGCTCGGTGGCCGTCGTCCCCCC